CCTCTGGCGGGTGAGTCCGACACTGGAGCAGGTTTGCTGGCAGGACTTGTGACCCCATGGGGGACCCACCCTGGAGCAGTTCGTGATGAACTGTAGCCCGTGGGAAGGACTCACATGGGAGAAGTTCGTGGAGGACTGTCTCCCATGGGAGGGACTCCACACTGGATCAGGGGAAGAGTGTGAGGAGTCCTCCCCCTGAGGAGGAAGGAGCGGCAGAGACAACGTGTGATGAGCTGACTACAACCCCCACTCCCTGTCCCCCTGTGCCGCTCAGGGGGGACGAGGTTGAGAAAACTGGGAGTAAAGCTGACCCCAGGAAGAAGGGAGTGGTAAGGGAAGATGTTTTAAGATTTGGTTTTATTTCTCATTACACTACTCTGATTTTGATTGGTAATAAATAAAATTAATTTCCCCAAGTAGAGTCTGTTTTGCCCAAGATGGTAATTGCCGAATGATCTCCCTGTCCTTATCTCAACCCACAAGCCTTTTGTCGTATTTTTCTCCCCCGGTCCAGTTGAGGAGAGGGGAGTGATAGAGCGGCTTGGTGGGCACCTGCTTCATTTCTTCAACTTAAACATCCACTATTTTGTTATCATTAAGAAATTCAGACCAAACCTTAAAGATTTAAGAGATGCTTTTCACCTACTTTCCATTTTTTCCCCCTGGAAATATTTTTAAGCTGCTCACATCTCCTTTCGTTCACATTTTCCAATACTCTTTTAACACGACATAACTCCGAAATCTTTCTTTATATTTGTCAAGTCGTAAACAGGTTGGTTTGAATGACTAAGTGCATTTTTGCTAGCATTATACCTGCATGTGCTTAGCTTTCTTAAAGAATATTTAACCACCAAGCCCTAGTATACTTTGCAACTAAGATTTTGTACCCACAATTCTCATACTAATTTAGTTATTCCATTTTCAAGATGGAAAAATACAGCAAAAAGATTGTGTATCACTGAATTAGCTGCTTCAGAGGGAATTACGTACCTGTGCACCGTTAGGGACGCAGGAATTACAGCTTGATTCCAAGCTGTTGTTTTTTTTAAGAGACATTACCTCTTCATATGCCTAGCTCTGTACTGTTATAATTAGATGATGACAGAAAGCCAATTGACAAAAGTCATATAGCACACTCCTCCAGCACATACAATAGTGCAATAATATGTAAATAAACACATATGAATGTAAAGGGTGACTGACACCAAGTGAAATAATGCTTAGTGCAGGCTGAACTAAGTAGCACGAAGCTAACATAAGAAAGAATGAAGGAATACACCTTTTTAAACCAGGCATAGAGTGTTTTGTTAAAGCCTTATGCAACAAGAGGGCTAGATGTAAATGTATGCATAAGACTACATTAAAATGTATGAACCACAGTAGGTAAAAGAAATTAATATCTGTCAGTATGACAAATTGCATGATGGCAGTAAATAAGTGTGTAGGAGGGTAAATCTTATCTTATTCAAGAACTAACCTCATAAAAATGTCATGGGTGTACAAATAGTAGTTACTAGGAACTCTGATTATCTTCTAATGAGATTCTTCTGAAAAGTATTTCATGGTCCAGCTTACAAAAGCCATTGCATAAATGTGTAAATAAATGGAAATAATAAAAAATTGCAAAGTTTTATCTGTAATCTGATATGATTAAAAAAACTATCTTATAATGAAGAAAATAATCTTAAAATAATCATTTTCAGTCAATCAATCACAGCTAATAAAAAAATAAGAGAATGAGGTCCAGGTTTGCATTCTATTTCAGAAGAAAACACCACTTGAGAAATACTTTTCATACATGCTTTTAGCTTGAAAGAGGTAAGCTGCTTGCAATAATCTTGCAAGCTGCCTCTCAGTGACAGCTTTGTGACCCCCTCTCTTTTAAAAGAAACAAACAGTAAAATCTACTCATTACACTTTTTTGATTCAATTGTTCCAAAACTTGGGCATCAAGAACCATATTAATTTTGTGTTTCAAATATAACACACTAGGGAAAAAAAAAAAACCAACCCAAACAACAGAAACAATCTGACTTACTTTTAGCATCCCACAAAATATCTTGTTCTGGAGGAGCAGCAAACAGAATGTAAAGACGTAGGGTGTCAATGCCATACTCTTTCACTAATTCTTCAGGGTCTATTCCATTGTGCTTAGATTTGCTCATTTTTTCCCAAGCAACTTGGAGCTTCTCACCAGTTTTTAGGTAAACTGGTTCAGTTCCTAAATATTAAGACATACACAAAATATTAGAACAAATTTTGCTCATTTGTAACAGCAATTCATTTTGTTCCCTAAGTATAAGAAGAAGCAACTATTTCTAGTGGGTTTTTTTTTTGTTTCCAAACAGTTTAAAGAGGAAAACCCATTGCAAATGTAATAACCCTTTTCCCTCCCAAATTTTTCCTACTTTCATATTTTAACACAATTAATATCCCAATGCTTCCATTGCATCATGACAAAGTCTCTTTCTACTGTTTGGAAGCTGTATCTCGCACTCATCCTCTGTGCTACCTTGATAGCCCCTGAAACTCAAGCATTGTTATAACCATGACATTTACAACTTCCTAGATAGGTCTACTGATTTGGCACAATTTTGACCTGCACGTAGCTTTTAGAACCACCAGATTTCAATTCATAGGTTTCAATTGCAGTAAGTTATCCTGACAAGAACCTGCCTTCTGTTGCATGAACTTAGAGATGGAAAGGGGCATCTACACTGATAAAGGTGCAACTGAGCAAAAACACCTGCTACGGAAAAGCCCTAGGTTTTCTGGAAGAAAACAGGATAGCAGACAGTGGTAAATGTAAGGGGTTTTTTGCTCTGTTTTTTAACTGGCTTATGGGGTTTGTGTGCAGGAGAACAACAATGAAAACAAGGTTGCGTGAGAGGAGTGCTTAAGGGAGGCAACTATGACCAAGCCACTCTTGTTGCCACTGCTCCCCAGACAAGGGCTGCTGCTCCAGCTTACGCAGTGAAGGCACTGGAAAGAACTTGAGAAACAACGGTTTTTCCTATACCTGTGTTACAAATGCCTAATATCTACCGAATACACCAACACCTGCGTTAGCTTTGCCATGGTTTTTTGTAGGTTGTCTGTTTGCTGGGACTACTAGCTCCGTTCAGCAAGCTGCTGAGCACTGTCTTAACAAAACTGACTTCTGGTCCTTTGGATGACACTGGAGCTAAAATAACACCATAGCACTGTTTCTGTGCTTGGATGCAAATAAAAGCTGCTGGATTAGTAGGGTCTCTGTGCACTCAGAGTGGATATGAATCCAAAACTCACAGAAGCTGCTCTTCAGTTGAAATATTACAAGGATTCATTTTCTCTTCCAAATTTTCCCAGCACTGAGACTTGTACACCAAAGCAGTCCCTGACTTTCTGGATGCATCTGTGCTGGTTTTCCCATGCAGTCTCTCTTACCAGTGAGATCAACCTCCTCTCTCTTCAAACACTGGCCTGTTGTTCGTCTGAATGTTTGATTCTTGATAAGACCTTGAACTAAGAGCTTATGGAAAGGCTCCCTAAGGATGGAAGGAGAAAGAAATTTGTCTGTTGAAAGGAGCTGTCAAAAGCATACTTTATGATAAGCCTCAGGTGTTGAGCCAATCAGGCACAATTATTTAATGAAACAAGAATTTCAAGTTGACTATACATAAACGGGTGTCACCTTAGAAAGAGTACTTTGTGCATTTATTCACGGTGGCTGGCTGGCAAGTGTAAGTATTTATTTGTATTCTGCACACATTCTTTCATCCTGATTTAGTACTGAGTTATTCTAACGTCACTTTTCAAATTAGCATCTGGATAATACACAAAAGTTTCTTGGCCAACTGTGCAATTTCACTAACTTCAAGCTAAATCCCCATTTGTAAAAGCGTCCAAGTACCTGGCCTCACTGTCTTACAAGTATTTTGTTCTAGTTTCTCTCTGAGGAGCACAGCATTTTAAACAAATCAAAATCTCGCTGCACATTTCTTTCTATAAACGGAGAAGATAGTTTCTCTAACATAAGCACTTGCATGCCTTGTCCCTTTGCAGAACTAGCCATGAAGACCTAGCTGTAAGAAAAAAGTACACTAGAAAAATGGCAATGCTGGAAAGTTCACATGTCAGTGGATCAATTTTTTAGCATCTTGAACATTAAAACTTTACTTTTCTGTCAAAATTTGTATCAGGGAGAGTAAGGTCTCATCAAATGTTTGTACGATAGACCTAAAAAGAGCCTTAAAAGGACCAAAGCTAAGGGCAGTGGTGCACTCGGCAAGAAATAAACTCTAAGTAAACACTGCTCTGGTTGATGGATACATTATTGCTGCCACCTCCTTTAATGATCTTGCATTTCTAATTAATCAGGTCAGTTGTCTATCATTGTTTTCACTGAAAAAAAGACAAAAAAATTAATCTCTAGAGGTTTTGGTCCCCACTCGATAGGTCAGGAAAGTAAGGCAGTTCTAACAGCAACCCCAAGAACATTAGGGCCAGGGAGGAGGTATGGAGCCAGACCCAGAAGGCATATACAGTCTGGGGAGTCTTCTCATGGGATCCTCTGACACAAAGACATCGGTGACCATCATTTTGGAGGACATGCTAGTCAGCGCTGGTTACTACTGACTTGCAGCTCCTAATGCTCACATGTGTGCTCAACATTAAGCAATCCGAATCCTCCCCACTTTCACCTAACAAAGCCCCCCATATTTACCAAAACAACTTATGTAAGAAGGATGCATCACTTATATTTACATATTTTTCAAAAAGCTAGAATAAATCCATCCATCTAAAGAAGAAAAAGTAAAAATAGGCTTCCACATTTTACTTCACATGTACAAAAAATTCATAATCCAAAACACGACTCACTTTTATGAAGTCATTTTAGTATTTTACATTATTAGGCAATATAAATTGTATGACAATTTATCTCATGATTTAAACCACTGTAATTTATTTAATAATGTAGTTAAAGTATTATTAAATTACATAACAATTATGCATGTTTTAACTGTATTAAAGCAGATATCTTCCAAGTACTACTCTTTAAACCCTGTTGATGACTCTGAAGTAAGGAGGTATTTGAAAGAAAAGCTTTAAACTGGGAGAGAGAAAGTGACAGGCTTCATACTTTATCTTCAACGTATTTATCTTCATATTTGAACACAAGTTTCCTTCCTTGCATATTTTGTATACTTCTAAATATTGTGCAAGTACTGGCACATAGTGTGTCATTCAGTCACCAAGCAGCACTAGTCTCTACCATGAACCTGGTTTTATCAACAATGTTAAGTAAGAGTAGCAATTCAAGCATCTCTACAAATATTTTTCTAAACAATATTTCATAGGTTGCCTGAATGTTTAGAAATTAATTAAAGGAACTTAAGAAGCTGACAACTGAAGTCAAATTTAGACAGTACAAACAGGAAAAAGTATTTTAAAAATAGGAGGTAATAATTATCTAAAAATCTCAAATAATTATCTCAAATTATCCAAGTGAATTAGAAGATAAAAATCGGGAACAAAAACCTTGTAATCCTATCATCAACAAACGGTGTAAAAATGCTTCAGGAGGTAACTGTCCAGGGTAAGTTTCTTCTCACACCAAGGAAAAATAAAAAGACTTTTCCCCCCTATCATTCAGACTTCAGTCTGGTTAAGATCTCAAACAGTTATTAAAATAGCTACACTTGCTGCTATTTAAAATAAAGCTAATGAGGTAGCCAAAACATCCAAATCAGACAGGGCTCTCCACTGGAAGTGATTTTTCAAGGAACGCTTATTTTTAATGACAAACAGTTAGTTCAGATCATACGCCAAGTTATTAAAAGCTGAATGTAGGAATGAGCATTTCCTATTTTTGTTTATGCTGACAGAGGCTACAAAAATGCAATACAAAAAATACATTACCAAGTATGGGGAAAAAAACCCCACGTGTTCCTAGTGGGAGACGGCAGGAGAATGGAGACATGCCCAAAATGAGAAAGTCAGAGCCCCTCTAATAAACACAGGGCTCAGAAACAAATTGAGCCCTGTACTGAATTTCTCCTGAAGTGCATAGTGATTTTGCCAGTGTTGTGGTGGCTCCATCTCATGGTCACATGCAGAGTTACACTTTAATTTACATTAATAAAACCGCACACCTAAAACCTTCCCCTTCGAAGAAGGCGATGTATTTCTTGGCTGCGGAAGGGGACTGCCAAGATGCCGCAGCACATCAGGCGTGATGCAATTCTGATGTAAATACTGCAGCACCCACTCATGGCCTGGTCTCAAATACTTCCTGAGCCATACCACTGGGAACAACTGGAAACTCAGCTGTGTTCAGACAGACGAACGCTTCTGGCCCAGTAAGCAAAGAGGTAGCTTGAGTTTCTTTGAATGCTCGATCACATTTGAAGTTGTAAGGATGCTGGAACGGGATACGCCTTCACCTGCCCGTAAGTCTGTTTGCGCCCACGCTGAGTATGGGCACTGTAGCCTTAGTTGTCTGCAGCTTTTAATCATGTTGTATGTCAGATGGGACCCCACCTGTGAAGTCTGCCTGACACCTCCAAGAAGGATCAGTTGTGCTAGCCATGAAGCATGTAATCCATCTTTTTCCTGTCAGTAATGTTCATATACAGGTCCACTTCTATGATAGACCAATCTCTCTATCTAGGAGCATGCAATGGATGGAGGGCCATGTCCTCAGGCTCCTCGCTCTGCTCCATGCAAGGTGACTAGCGGGACTTGCAATCCAATTCCAAATGACCTGGCTGGAAGGACTCTGTGGAGCCTTCAACAGTGATAAACAGTGGACTCAGAAGAAGGGATAGCTCTAGCAAGGGAGCTCACTGCACGTATTTGCATCCCACACTTCTAAAAAGGCTGAGAGAGCCCGACGCTGTGCCCTAGAGTCAAGGCAAGACCTTGGTCAGTCACTGTCAGCTGAATTCAGGTGCTTGTGAAACGTGCAGTTAGATCTCTCTGTGACAATCTGGCAAGCCTGTAGAAGGCCAGAAGTGATTGGGGGATGTGGGAAAAAAGATCAAACAATATTGAACATTCAGATTTTACACAGTCAATAGCTGAGTGCTTTTACTTAAAATCAACACTAGTGATAAAGTCCCTAATGAACGTAAAGAAGCTCTAACATCCTTCCTCTACAGAATAAGCCATTTCTGTCACACACATATCTTCTTTTATTCTGTAATGCACATATGTAAAAATAGTGCCTTCTTACTCAACAGATTTGTTCTCTATCACAGTCAAATCTGCTGACTTAATGGCAACAATAAACTTTTTTATTGCTTTATAATCCTTCAGGGAGAATGTGCTAGATTCCATTTACAATTATTCATCAGACAGAACTGATTACTAAAGTCTAGGGAAGAGCCAGATTCTGTGTAACTTGTACTTGCAATAACACAATTGAGCAGGTGTAACCAAGTGTGTCAGCATACACTCGCCATGGTGGCTTAAGCTGGAACAGATGAGGAGGTTGCTGGCCCCAGCTGCCTACTTGGCCCCTCTCCCAGGGGTGGTCACAGCTGGGAGGGCTGACTGGCTTGTGAATTAATTCCAGAACTGATGCACTTTACAGACCAGATTGCTAAAACCAAATGACATCAATTTGGGCTTCATCTGTTGACATATGTATCAATACCCAGAGGGTGCTATTTATTCTGCCTTGTCATTACTGAGGAAATGAGCAGCACTTCCCACCATCTCCAGTTCAATGCATTTAAAAAACATAATAAAAGATCATGCCCCACCTTTAGAGGATATTTAAACTACATTGACACCTTTACAATTTTAGATGTCTATAAACATTGCATCTTCTATGAAAGCATGTGTGACATCTATAAATGAATGGCCTATAATGTACATCATACGTGAAGAGATTGCTCTGAAAATCTAAAATATGAAATTTTAAACTTTTGTTTTCAATGTTATTATTATATAAACAGCCATTAGTACAAAATTAAAGACTATCAGGAAATATTTCAATGGATTTGAAAGTCAGCGGATAGGAGCCAACAATTTACATTTCCACGAAGAAAACCTATCAAAATGAAAAATTACTACAGATTAATAGGAGAACCATAAAAATTTGTCAGGATACTAGATAACACTTTAAATGGTGGCAGATCTCATTAACTGAGATGTAGCAGAATTTTACTAATTTAATCGGTGAAGAAGATCTGAGCTACTAGAGAAAGACTGAAAATGCACAAGAGGGCAGTATTTTTTAACATTTTAATGTTTTCCCTCGGAGCAGTGGGCTTCAACACCATGACTTCAAGCTTCCTAACAATAAGCTCGTTATTTCTAATCACCCTTTTCAGATCTCTCAGACCAGCCCTTGAGCAGTTCTAATAGAAGACTGAGCAAAAGTGGCTTCTGACCAATGCTAAGACATATTTAAGACAAGTGGTAATATTTATAAAGGAGTTGAGAAATCCTAATTTGACTTCATGGCTTAAAAGCACCTAATGCTTTAAGTGTGTAGCGCTAAAGCAAGCAAACAATTTTGCACATGATGAATTTGTTACGGTCATCTTGCATTCTGAACACATGTATGAGCAGTACATACAACGGAACCTAGGGGCAATGCTGTAACATATCTTCACATGTGCAACAGTTCTTGAGATTGTACATGGCCTCAAAGGAATTCTCCAGTCTTGCAAACTACTTCTACAGAAAGCAATTTTGATTTTTTCTGCTGTTGTCACTAGGCATAGTCAGTGCTTCTTGAGCATTTTTTTCATTGAAGTTAAGAGGTTTTTTCTGCAATTTACCATATTTAGACCACTCTAGACATAGTGCTTTGGTGCTACTGCTCTGTCACAGCGGAGCATGAACGAAATATTTTCCAAATTCATACAGCTACAGAATCATGGACTCTTAAAATAGTGTAGGTTGGAAGGGACCTTTGGAGGTCATTCGATCCAACCACTTTCTCACAGCAGACCTAACTTCAGGTTGCTCAGGGCCTCATCCAGCTGAGTTTTGAAAATACCCAATGATGGAAATCCCACAACCTCTCTGGTCAAACAGTTCCAGTCTGACCACCTTCACTGTCAAAATTATTTTCCTTCTATCCAGCTGGACTTTGCTGCAGTCTGTGACTGTTAGTCTCTTCCTTTCTCTGTACATCTCCGAGAAGAATCTGGTTCTGTCTTCTCTACAATCCTCCTGTAGCAGACTGCAGTTAGACTCCCTTCTTAGCCTTCTCTTCTCCAGGGTGAACACGCTCAACTCTCTTAGCCTCTCCTTGTATGACACATCCTTCAGCCCTTGACCATCTTAGTGCCCCTCCACTGGACCCTCCCCAGTTTGATAAAGTCCTACACAGTGGGGGGCCTCAAAACTGGACACAGTATTCCAGATGTGACTTCCTGAGGGATGAGCAGAGATAATCAAAGCTAATGCAGCACAATATACTCTCAGGCCTACTGCTGACTCACATCTAACTTGGTGTTCACCAAGACCCCTACAGCCCTTCTCTGTTGTGCTCCTCCTCACACAGTTGGCCCGGCCCTGTCTGTTTCCGTGTGTAATCTGCTCCATGTACAGAACTCTGCATTTGCCTTTGTTGAACTTCATGAGATTCCTGTCAGCACTTCAGACTTGCTCCTCCAACTTGTCAAAGTCCTTTGCATTGCAGCCCTGTCATCCAGAATATCAATAGCTTCTCCCTGTGTGCAATGAACTTGCTGAGGGTGCACTCTGTTGCACTGCCCAGGTTGTTGATGAAGATGTTAAATACAATTGGCCTCAGCAGTGATTCCTGAGGAATACCACTTGCCACTCAGACTTTGAACATTGACTCTTTGAACCTGATGGTCCAGACAGTTTTTCCATCCATGCTGTAGTCCACCCATTCAGTCTGCATCTCCCTAGTCAGACTACAAGGATGCCATGGGAGAAATTTTTAAAAGCCTTGCTAAATCATGGTAAAAGATATGCACAGCTCTCTCCTCATCCACAGAGGGAATCATCTCACCACAGAAAGAAGGCAGATTAAGTTGGGCATAATTTCTCTCAGTAAATCCATAGTGGCTACTCCCAGTCACCTTGTCTTCCGTGTGCCTGAAAATTACTACCAGGATGACTTGCTTTAAAAATATTCTTGGGGACCAATGTGAAGCTGACTGGCCTGTAAGTACTTTGGATCATCCTTCTTGCCTGTTCTTGAAGATGAGTTTTGCATCTGCCTTTCTCCAGTCAACAGGGACATTCCCTGATCACCATGACCTTTCAACAACAATTGACAGCAGCCTCACAATGGTAAAGACCAGCTCCTTCAGCACCCTTGGATACACCCCATTTGGTCCCGTGGACTTGTACATCTCTGGTTTACTTAAGTGATCCCTAACTCAATCCTACTCTACAGTGGGTAGTATCTCTCCCTCAAACTCTCCTACTAAGCACAAACCTTGACAGCAAAGGCCAAGGCAAAGATTGTCATTTGCTACTAGGCTCTTTGTCCAATTTTGCATCAGGCGAACACTTTCCTTAATGTTCCTGTCAATGTATCTGCAGAAGCCCTTCTTACTACCTTCACATTCTTCACTGGTTTCAATCCTAGATGAGCTATGGCCTTTTCTAATTCCATGCTGCCTACCCAGATAATGCTTCCACATTCTTCCAGGGGTAGCCCATCCTCGCTTCCCCTTTCCAGGCACTTCTTTTAGTGCTTGAGCTCACTCAGGAGGTCCCTTTTCAGCCAAGCTGGCCTCTTTCCATACCTCCTTTTCTTGCACACCAGAGTGGACTGCTTACTTTGCAAGCAAACCTCCCCTTCCTTGTGGTCTCAGTTTACAGTGACAATACTTCAGCTGCCATAGTTAATGTTGTTTTGGGAGGTGGAAGAATTTGCCTAGCAAAAGAACATTTTGCTGCTGTGTGTTACAGCTCCACTAGATGGCTGATAGATTAGGATAGTAAAGTCTTTTGTAGAACTGTTAAGCCTGAAATTGCTTGCAAGGAAAAGCTCTGAAATTCTCTGCTTAAAGGAATAGTGCCTATGACAGAAAGGGTCTGCTTCGAGAGGCCCACTCCCTCAGAAAAGGAACAGCCTTCCTGCTGCAGCTGTGCAAGCTGGAGACAACAGGGTGAAACACAGGTACACAAATCACCCACATCCAAAATCTGAAATACAGCTTTCACTGCAAACTATTTTGCAGGCAAGAATGAGTGATGAAAATGCATTGCCTGTTTTCATCAAATGATTATGAAGCAACTCAGGGAAATATTCTGCTGGCTCCACTAACTAGTCCATCTTTTTCTGGCGCACAGCTACTTGAGTTTTAGTTTTGTAGCAAAACTGCTGCATTCAAGAGAGTTCAGTGCCATGTATATGTAGGTTCCTCAAGTTTTTAGAGTGGATACCAGCAAAGAATGCATACGAGTTGCCAGCTGAGAAATTACTGAGCAGTTGCTCTCATGGAATCCCTCATTTTGACTCAATCTATTCAAATGTCTCTGCTGATGGGAGAACTGGACAGAGCATGGGGCAGTAATTCACTATTCTGACAATAGTATCCTCCTTGTTGAGACATTCCTGTGATGGCATTTTAGGGTAAAAAAAGGGCAGAATTTCAGTGGAAATGGGGACATCAAGCTGGGAATCTGAGAGGACAAAGAATAGAACATCAGATGACTCACCTTCCTGCTTCAAACTTTACCTCTAACCAAAACAGAGGATAATGAATTACGCTATAGCAGCATCAGCAACAAGAGTAGTTAAAAGTAATTATATAAAAGTCATTAAATAAAAAATAAATTGACAGCAGATACATATACTGCTTTTGCTTATCAAGAACTATTTTGCACTGTTCAGCTCCAATGCTGCAGTGAATTATAGGAGTGCTTATTTTTCTACATATGCGTGGTTCCACTGAAATTAATGGTATTATTGTGCATGAAGTTACCTAACATGAAATAATAGCACTACTCAGAATGCTGGAAGTTACTCATTTATGCAAGCTTTTGCAGGCTGAAAATGTACACCAACATTTTATCACTTGCTCTGAGCCAGTTAATATTCCTGTAATAAAAATGCTATGTATGTATGCATACAGAAAATGCAACTGACTGTGAGAAACCAAGTAGTTAGCCAAAACTGACAAGCAGGAAATTCAGGCTTATTCAATGTAATGTTCTATCATCATAACAATGTCCACTAACACTCTTGCTAGTCAAATGAAACATGAAAGATTTTTATAGAAATATATAAGGCTTACTTGTGTTTTGTCATCTTTAGGTCATGACAAAAATGGCTGAAAAACCTCGCATAGAATAAGTGCATAACTGCATGCTCCTTTCCTCCGATGTACAAATCCACAGGCATCCAGTAGTCTGCTAAGTCATTATTAAAGGGCCTGAAAAACCACAAGTATAGAAAAAATACAATATGGAAAAGAAAGATCAGCTCTGCTAAAGTAGCTCATTATACTTGACTAGACACTACTGTTTACTGAGAGCTATACGTGTGTAATAAAACTTTTATTTTGCTATCAGATCTCTTTAATTTTTAAGAAGTGATATGCTTATTAAATTATAGACAAAATCTTAATTCCCTCTGAAAAGCAGATCTACAAAAACATTATTTTCATATATTTCAGGGAAGCAACTAAGATTTCACATATGTTGCCTGAGAAAGTGATGAAAATGTTTGCTTGCTCTTGAATGATTTTTTCATAAATAGCCTGTGGCTAGCCTTTAAATTTTTTAGTATTTATCAAGTTTTACATACAAATATATTACAGTGAAAGACAAAAGACACGCCCACTCAAAAACAGTTGATTTTTTTTTTTAATCGGAGGTTTGCATTGTTGCCATTAGGGGGCAATGAAGCAGTTTACTATAAGGTTGCAAAATATTTTGAAGAGTCAGATGGGTCATCGTACTCCAGCTGAAGGATGCTCTGTGAATTTACAGCAAATTTGTCATTTACAGCATATTTACTATGTCGTTGGAGGTCACCTGCATGGTTTCCTAGCATTGCTTCCTGCTTCATTAAATACTGTTATGTCTCCTGTAATGGGCTCCTGCCTTCAAAATACCATTTGTATGTATGTTCTTCTTTAATGTATGCTTTATTGCCCCGTTCTAACAAATTTACTTGTTTTGTCAGCTTGTTTGATTATTCCATGTGTAGTTTTTGAAATAGCAACATTTTTTTTCCTCACAGATGAGCTCAGAAGCAAATCAAGGATCTGGGATTCATGTCTTTAGTGGAACATGAATCAAAATTAACTTGTTCACAGGGTTCCAAAATCAACAGAGTAATTCTCCCAAATTCTAGACCTGTGAAATACGACTTATGGAAATAAAGGGTTTATGTATACCCAGCTTAGCTAAAAAACAAACCAAATAAATAAATAAATTAAATGGAGGTAGCCATCTAGTGCAGAAGTCCATAAAAATGTTATTTCAATATAAAACAGATTTAGCTACACTAAGCTGTTATTTTGACAGCTGGGTGTAACATCTGACTATTTCATCTTCAACTTCTGGAAAAGTTCCTCTTCTCTATGCACAAAAAAATATTTTAAACTGTCACTGGAGAGGAAGCAGTCTGCATAACTTAATAATATTAATAATAAATTCACAGTATCACTAGAAAATAATTAAAATTAACGTGAAATAAAAGTGTTCACAGAAGATATTTATTTAGTTTAACTAAACTGGTGCTGTCAATATTAAAAAAAAAAAAACGTAATTGGCCCAGCTATACTAAATCACTTGGTATGTAGTATGTACCCAAACACTGCTCTGGACAACAAATAACTAACTAAATCCCCAAACAGCCCTACATGTCGTATCAATACCTGAAAAATGCAACTCTTTCTGTCTTCCTCAGACTACACAGTAGAGCTGTTCCACTAATTCCTCTTTGGAAAAATCACTGCTATCAGCAACACTACTACAGGCAGACTATGAAGCAGAAAAACAGCTAAATAACTACATCTATCTTCCCACACTCTCCATGCTGCAGCCACTAATACGCAGCACATGAAAAATCTCCTTTCATTAATTATGCATATAGTTGAAGTGCCGAGACAGCAGGAGCTTGCTGCAATGCCACTTCACTTTAGGCCTGCGCATGAGGAAGTAGCAAGAGTTACCAGAACGCAAAAGAAGAGAAATAAGGGTGCCGCTCTTGGCAGCTGGATGTTACACCGGATTATTCCTCTTTTTACCGGTGGAAAAGCACTGTCTATCCACACACTGAAATACTCAGCGTATTGCCAGGGAGGGTACACTCCACGCAACTTACCACAGTCTCAGAGAGAGTCATGGCAGGCTGCCATTCTTGATGGCATCCTCCACCGAGGACTATCTTCAGCTCCTCGGCTGAATGTTTCCTCTGTGCCCTGCCCCATAATGCCCTTTCATGCAAACTTCTGCCCCTTGCCTCGTAGCTCCTGTGCTTACACAGTTGTGTCTACACACCCTTCTGCTCTTGTAGATCTCCCGGCATGGGAGCAACCAAACGCCACATTTTTAGAGCGATTCCTAGTCTAGCCCGTGCTGCGCTCAGGCCAGAGCAGGGGCACAAAATCAGGGCAGCCCAGGGGTTTACGCTGCCTTAGAAGTTAGAAGCTAGAAGCACCAGAGCGCCTGGCCTCTTCCTTCCCTTCCGTTCCGCGAGGCGGGCTGGCCCACCCGATGGCCCTGGGCCTGCAGCCCTCACCTGTCCCCGTTGTGAGGGTCGGTGTACCTCAGGTAGTACCAAGCGGAGTCAACAAACGTATCCATGGTATCGATCTCCCGCCGTGCTGCTGCCTTACACCTGAGCAAGAGAGAAGGAGAAAAGCTATTTTTAGATAAGTGACAAGCCTGGAAAAAAACAACCGTGTATGTACAGAGTGGCCGTGAAGACATTTAGATGGAAAACTGAACAGGTCTGAACATTCTGAAGGGCGTCAGAAGGCGCCCAACACAAGTAACAGAATCCACTCTCCTTCCCACTCCCTCCCAAACCAAACAAAATGCAAACCAAATAGAAGCCTGAAGAGCTATAACATCCAGCAATAGTGGAAGACGGCACCGCACCGGACAGCCCTCTCCATCATATGTTCCTGGAGTTTTTTAGAATTGCCATTTTAAAAGAAACGAAGCAAGTCTTAAAGCACAGACAAATGTACTTTGCCTTAAAGTTAATGGGAACTCAATATATATCACACTCACTGGGTACCAGCAGACAAATAATTTTATAAACATTCAGCAGACGAGCAGCTGGTTGCCTCTCTGACTGTCTGTACAAAAAGGTCCTTGCAGATTCCATTTATCATCTCTAGAAAACATGAACTTAGTTTAATTTCAGCTTTCACTGAGATGTAGCAAATCTCTTCTAGACCTTGTAGCACAATTTTAATTTGTGATTACTGCAAATCAATTTTTGCTAGGAGTTATATATTGGCAGCCCTGAGAAACAATTTTAAAATAAATTTTAGAAGCTCAGGTTACTTTCTGCTAGTTTCTCCCTGAATAGAAATTATTCGTCTGTAGGAGCCAATAATCACATTTAATAAACTTCCACTTGTTGTAAATGATCTCTCTTTAAAACTCTTACTGTTAAAACAATAGGATTATTCTAATATAAATAAAACTTTGCAACCTGTGACAAACTTGCACAGAAATACCACTGGCTATATGTAACAAATGTATGCAATTTATAAATGTATGTAAATTGAAATGTATGTATATGTGTAAAAAATATACATAATAAATAAGCACTGGCTATTCAGTATTTTCCAACTGCATATTTAGTCTGTGATCAGGCTTGATAACTGAACTGCAACACATATCTGCCTGTCTGCCTGATATCTCAGCTTGGCTTGCTGAGGCAAGTTTAGGAGAGTATCACCAATTAACATTTTCCTTCTCTCTGTCTCTGCCCCAGGTCCTTCTCTACCAGCACGTTTTCTTTCAATGGAAATAATATAGTAAAGGAATTTTATTTCTAACTGCTTTTTAATATAGAATAACCTTTTTATTAAATTGTACATATAAGGAGAGACTTGGCCAATGTAAAATAATACTGTATTATATTGAAACAGAATGGCTTTTCAGTCAAAAGCAAGAATACTTTACAGTCATTGAACCATAATTATATCTGTTTCATGCCTCTGATGTTGCCTGTACTCTAAATGGACATGGCTCACTAAGACACAGACAACATGGGCATCTTTCAAAATTTATACAACAGGCACAATACTGTAATCTCATTAGACGATCTTCAGACAACTAACACAATTACCTGGACTTGTATAACAATGAATAACTTGGGCATCTCCTCCCATTTATGATTGCTTACATTATTGTCCCTCAAATACTCACAGACTTTTGTATCTTCCCATCTTGCTTCCCTTATTAATTCTAGATATTAAATGCAACTAATGAAAAAAAACTATTACTGGAGAGAAGGACTAAAGGAAGGGATGATGTAATTTCTCAGAGCGAGGAAAACCAAGGAAGACTGCACACACAAAGACTATAGCTCAAAGGATTTGAAACGGTAGCAGACATATGGATGAGCAATACTGAAGATAGCTGTCAAGTAGGTGAGAATTAAGAAGCCAAGTAAAGGTGAGAATTAAAAAAAGTTAATTTCGGCAAACTACTACATTTTAGGCTAAGAAACTAATCCTGTACACCTTTATTTCTGACTAAACAAATGCCCTTGATTAACTCTAAGTAGGGCAGCCACAATAACTATCCAGAAACCACAAGGATTTGCTATACATCAAAAGTACCTTGTTGCCTGGTAAACAATAAAACCACTTTTGAATTAAGGTCAGGAGGAGCCAGGAGTGCAGACAGTGACTTTCAGTTACATCAAGAAAATTTTTCAGTTGAAATTAGGAATTGTAGACCAAGGCATTTCTAGGGATTTTACTAAACCTGTGGATCTTGTTTAGTAAGGCTTCCCTGCAAGAGTCACACTTCAAAATACACTAACTATATGTAATTTAAACAGGCATATCTGAGAAGAAATTTTCTGTGCAGAATCAAGGAAATAAATGTGTGTTTTACATGAAATACATGTTATCAACAAAGGTCAAAATACATGTTCCAAGAGAACCACAGAACTGCTGTGCATAAGCTACCTACTTAGAAACGAAAACCACCGATATTGTACCCTGCAAATGTTAAAATACAGTGAGATGTTATGAAACTGCTGCATTATCAATGAGAGCCCTAATGCCATTTATATGTCTGATTCCCCTGCCTGGCAGCCCAATAACGTACCTCCCATTTGGTCAGTCAGTTAGCAGCAGCATTGCATTGCACTGCTGATGAAAAACTTCTCTGGGATAACTCATGCGCTACCAGTACTTCTGCAGAACCTGTATGCAAACTCCAGTGTACAGAGTATCTAAGGAGACCTCAAGATTAGACAACAGATTTTCATGACATATCTCTCACTACTTAATTTAGGCTGTTTTATTTCTTAAGCAGCTGGACTACAAGCAATAAAGATTACAACACTGACAAGATGTATATACTCACTATCTCCTTCTACCTGAATTACATGCTGTCATCTCTAACATACAGTGAATGTGATTCTTCATGATAAAGAATTATATAGCTGAGGACACACTTTATTATTGGACTATTGCTAAGAAAATGAACACAATATTAGTTTCCTTAACAAAAGGAAATAATTCAATAATCATTATAAGCTTTATATGAACTCTGCTGGAGAAAGATAATGAAAATTCTTGTAGTAAATGAGGTGAGAAATACTGTTAAGAAATGGAGAGCAGGGAGAAAATCATTCTTTTTTCCCTTTTTTCTTTCCTCCAACTTAAAAACAGTGAGTTTTGCTTCAGCTTGTTTATGAAGAAATAGCAGTGGGTGTCTGTGTTGCAAAAAAGGAGTTTTACAGAGTATATAAGGAAAAAAGCCCTATGCTGGGTCAGACTAAACATCATTCTGGAGTAGTATCCTGGCTCAGAGTGGTCAGTTTCCAATAACTTCGGAAAGAGCACAAGAAACAGGCAGGTACAAAGCGATCTCTCCCAGTCTGCAGTAAATTCAACATTGGCTTACCTCGGACAGGAACAGTTCACCCATTCTGGAGCAGTTTCTAAAGGTGAGGCTCCCTTTCCCGTGAAGGTGGTTACATTGGGCAACACCACAGGTAAGTCTTCATAAGGTACGGGGACAGTGCCACATGTCTGGCAGTGAATGATAGGAATAGGTGTTCCCCAGTACCGCTGTCGAGATATTAACCAGTCTCTTAATTTATCACTCGTTAGGTCTCCACCTATTCCTTTATTTTTGGCCTGCTGGGTAATAGCTTTGAAAGCCTCCTGACGAGTCATGCCTGTGATCTGATTAAAAAAAAAGAGAAGCAGAGGAAGAAAGAAAAATGTATATTTGCTATCAGTGAAAATGCACGAACAGACAAAAAAGTCACAAATGCAGTTCCTGAGAGTCAAAGTTTATGAGCCTCATATTAATTTCCCCCTTCCCGCTGCTTAACATCCTTCTATCCAAGAGACTATTCACATACCAGTTACTTGATTCATTTAAACCCTCTTAATCAAAGGGTAATGTTCTTGATGGTCTGAATAGAACAAGGCTGAGAAACTGCCCTGTAGACCCCTTCAGCCTTTATTGGCAGATATTTGCATTTACTGCTGATATTTTAATCAACTGCTGTACGCTGACACTCCCAGAATATCACCAACACAAGGTAGAGACTGAGGAAATGTGGATGGTGAAACAGCTTTCATTCTCCTGCGTTCATTTGGGTTTTTCTATTCTTGCTTACAGATACATCTTAACCACTTAGACCCTACCTGTTATGTAACAGAATATAAGCTTTTCGTCTGCTGTCAAATGCATTTTTTCAAGAACTATAACACCATATATATTTTACATTTAAATATAAGATTTCTATGTCACTTCAGGCAGATATTACCAGAAAGGCTTATGACACGTTTCAATGAATACATGGAAAAAGGACTATTATATTAATATTTAGCTTAAAAATGTATTGAGATGATGAAATAAGAATCAACTTTTAACACAGAATCAATTATTCAGTTTCCATTATAAAACTCAGACCAATACTGTAGCTTCTTCTCCTGCACAAAAGGAAAAAAACCTCATTTTATTGCTACAGAAGGGCAAACATATTTCACCATTTAATTATTCCTAGAAATTTGGAAGCATAAGCCTGGCTTGATTCTTAAAAAAAAAAAAAAAAAGAGCCTTTAAACATACAAATTATTTGGCACTCCTGAGAAAACAGATTTTGTTTGCATTGTTATTTTAAGTTGGAAAGAACTCCATACTTGTATACCTACCTCCCCAGAATTGATTACTTTCTCCAAACCATTTGGCAATGTTTCAGTGACTTCAGTGAAAGAAATGCCCAGATTCTTAGCTACTGCAGCATCTTCTGCACTTGTACTAGGTATTCCTGGGGGGAGTAAAAAAAAAAAGAAAATGAGTTCTGGGATTGACTAACATGGATATCAATCATCAATTTGAGGATAAAACATTTTATTTCTATGACACTCTCTTTATAATGACTTATGTTTGCCCAAAGGAGTTTAAAAATCTAAGAACAATAAAAATCTTTTAATGTTCTTTAAGCAGTAAAATGCAAGCAGCAATAATTACAAACACATTTCCTCAATTTCTCTGTAATCCAAGCATTAATCAATGTCCCACCACAGAAAAGGCTGAAAATTAGATGGTTCAGAAAAAGCCTAAAAGTAAAGCTACAAAATTTGAATAAATAACAAATTTTTCAATACAATTATATTATGTAAATACAATATATTTAAATAATACAAATTTAAATTCTATTTGCTAATATGAGAAACAAATACTAAACAAACAGCCTAAATAGTCCTCTTGTTTCAATAGTAAATTTAATCTAATTTCATACTTTATTAAAATTTACCACAACAAAACAATCTCTAACATTACTATCCCTTTAACTTACTACGAAAGACATGATTTGTTTATAATCTCAGGAAAACAATTCAAATAACATCAATTTTCTATTCAGAATATAACTACCGAGAGCACTTCCTACTGCTGTTCAAGTCAGTTATAGAAGTCACAGTATTTAAGGCACCTGATGCTATCTTTCCCTTTGCATCTTATTATTTAGCTCAGTCATACATCTTGAATGCAAGTTCCTCTTCTAAGCCATATAGACTTCTTTTTATTATAGCAATTTACTAGCACCATAAAATGACACATTATCTTTAAATATTTCTTACTCACACTGACCGACGATGACATCTTCCCTCTGATTTTGCTGCATGTATTTTGAAAGACACTTTGTTCTACTTTGGAGGACTACTTTTCAGGGTGAGTTAAGAAATTTAACTTTATTATCACATGTATTCTGAAATAACATTGAGATACTAACATTTATTATTTCCTCAGGGAGATACATCTTTCTGCATATCTTTTTTCTTTCAGTGATAATTTATTTAATATTTTGAACAATCTTGCACAATTGCTGTCATCTTTAAAAGGCAAAGAAACTTATTTCAATAAGCCAATGCCAACATTAGGTTTGTGAAAACTACAGACAAAAACTCTCAAAGTATTGCTGAACACATTAGAATTATTAACATACAAACTACTTCATTGAAAACCAGTTTAACAGTCATCTTTGTTCAGGCAATGAAATGCCTGCTATAGATTAGCTCTATCAATATATGGAAGTTTGGGAGCAGATAACTAAATAAAACCAAGCAAAACTGCCCTGTGACAAATAACTCCCTAACTAGCAAAATACGGAATCGCTATTTTATCTTTCCAGCAGATGTACGCTCTTGCCATTTCAAGGCCGTATTATAGAATAATGTATGTATCTTAATTTGTCAGAGAGCCCTGCGGCCTGCAACAGGTGGCTTCACAATATGCTCTACAAATGGAAAAAAAGCGGGCCCCACTTTTTGGTCTTCCTTCTTTTGAAAAGATGATGCTATTAATGCACATTCGCAAAGTTCAACAGCTGGCATCCAGAACTTCCCGGGAAGAGCTGGGCTGTTTCCAACAGACATAAGGCCAACGTACGTGCCAGTGAGCACGCTGGAAGCTTTTAATAAAAAATACGATTGGGTATCTCAATTATTTGGCTTCTCTTACATGAGCAGAGGTTCTGGTTCTCAAAAACAGATTCATTCCTAAAGTGTAAGATGCGGGCATGTTGTAAGTAAGGTATAGAGCTCAAGTGAATAATTTCTATCAGCCTTGTGAGGGTCATCCAAGACATTTTTGCAGTGTCAGCTGCTTTTATTCAATCCAGTTGTTGTGCAAGAACAGCCAACATTGGCAGTGGTGTGTTGAGAAGAAAGGAGTAGCTCCAGGGCAGGAAAGAAGTATCAACAACAGGGGGGCAACAAAAGGGACTTAAGGGATAAGGATGTAGTGGAAAGGGGGAAGAAGAGATAAAGAACTATTTCCTATGAGGACTGGCACAGAACATTGCCTACTCATTGCAGCTGAGATGAGACCACAGCAAAACACAACAGTAAACAAAAAGCTTGGTGGGTGCTATTGATGAAGATATACTTTGCAGATTAAAACGGACACAATTTTTAAAAGTTAGTACAATTTCTAATTTTACTTAGAAGGACAGTCACATCATCTAACCATATGTACTTAACTGCCTAAGTTGTGGGGCTAAGCTCCCTATGCAGGAAAGGAGTAAGACAAGCTGCTTCATAGGATGACTTTGAGAAGAGAAGCCCACTCCAGGCAATTCAGAGTATCCTCTAGCAATGCCCTTCCCCCTCCGTTTATGGATGCTCAATCCTAAATTAGGTGCTGTCCTGGTTCCGGCTGGGACAGAGTTAACTTTCTTCCCAGTAGCTTGGGGTTTGGTGTGAAAGGAGCGTTGGTGGCCCATTGATGCTTTGGCTGTTGCTGGGTGGTGCTTGCACGGGGCCGGGGGGGGGGT